GAGGTCGTATTTCGGGATACCGTAAAACAGCCTCGAACCAAGATTTACTCTACGCGGAGTTTCGTCTTAGACTCGCTCGCGTCTGGAAACGAATATGTAGACACCGGGCCCCGTGGAAGAGCCACGCCGGAGAATGATGTCGCTGGGCGAGCACAGCGATGTAGCGATTATATCTGCTCACGGTGGCCAGAATAAACGATTACACGCGGCGCTGGTGAATATTTATCTCGGACGGTATCTACCATCTCGCGTCTGATCGCGACCGGGGCCCCCTTGTCGTCACATGTACGCTGGGAGTGATCCTTGTAAGACGACGCGCCGGTTTTTCACCGCGCACCGGAACGATCGCAACGTAATATCTTCGGACCTACCAATCATAGCAGCGTGGATGGGAGAGGCTAGGAGAAAAATTCTCGGATAGCGAGTAAAAGTGAAAAATGACCGTTGTTTGAAGGGATGGATAATCCTTGTTCCCTGCTTGAGTCGATCTTACATGCGACATTTTGACGGTTGAAGTGCTTTTTAAAAGTCGTTAGATTGTACATGAATTTTATTATTGTTGTACATGGTTTATTATTATTTTCTTATGTTATTTGCGAACTATATGGAGAATGTGGGTGTCATTGTTGCGTGAATAGAATGCGTAAGAGAGGGAGAACTGAAAATGTGTAAATGAATTCTGCTAATTTAAGGTTTAGAGGCTGGACTCTAGATTCTTGCGTTATATATATATATATATATATATATATATATATATATATATATATATATATTAGTTTCAATTAAATGTTTAGTAATATGCTTACAATTTTAAAGGGGTATGTAAGTATCCATCAGTATTCCTCCGGTAATATTTTCTATTCTTTGCTTGATATCTTCTAATTACTGTGAAACACCAAGAAAGTTATGGCTGCACTTCGAGATGTGAAATTGTTATGATTCGCAGAGATTCCTTACCATATATGGTTCCCTTTTTCATCCATAATAATGCATTCTTCGAGTCGAAGGGATCGAATGACGCGAATTGCAACATTAATGAAATCGAACGGTTGATCGCAAGGTCGATTACTCTTGGGCAATTATTTCTTCACGGATCGATTCTTTCTCCGATGTAATTGCCCGATAGAAGCACGAACAGAGCCTGGAATAACCGGCGAGTTGTTTGTTCGACAGCCGTATAATTATTCGGAAATATTCTTGTCATACCGTTCCTTTCCATGTAAATACGGTATCAGTTCTTACGTCTGTTAATTCGTGTAACGAGCTTGTCGGAATGCTCCACATCAAGGAAAAGTTTGTCATCTGTAAGGATTGTTGTTTTAAAGTATTTGTATCTGTCAGTTTTTTTAGGAAAATGTTGAGACATGCTACTAAATGTTGCGCAGATTCAGTTACTTCGTTTTCTGCTCGCCTTTTTTTACATAGAACAGAAATACCATTGATTGCAAAATGGTAACAGGTGAACATAAATCACTGCAGATATCTAATTCCACAATCGGACAATGTCTTTGTCGACTTTAAGAGTTAAATAAACCTTCCTAAACCAAAGAGTTGAATAAACTTCATGGCTAGAAGTAGAAGATTTCCTGTTATTTGTAACATAATCAGAAAAATAACGGTTCTACAAGAAATTTGAAAATGAATTTGAAGAAATTTGTTTGTAATGTATTTTATTTTGATAAAACCTGAGAATAAATTGTATTTTTATTTGAGAATAAATCTTCAAAGATGATTTTTTCAAAAGCAAAGGTTTGAATGAAAGAAATTCTATTCTAGATTTTTCATTTATTTATTCACGCAGAATTATTATTCTTCAATTTTCATTACAGATTAATAAGATTTTTTACCTTTTGTGTGATATAGATAATATCCCTACTTAACAGACATTTCAAGAATTTCACTTTTACAGCAGCAGTATTTTCTTTTAAAGTTTTAAGTAATTAAATTGCTGTTCCAAAATGGCAAACATTTTTTGGAAATACTCTAATGAGAGGTGCGATGATCCAGCCGGAAGCAAAGAATAATTTTCGTACCAAAGTAATGACATAGTGTATTCGCTGTTTACTCGGGGCTACGTTATCAAATGGAAATGCAAATTACTTGTAATGAGAATTCTTGCGAGGGGTACCGCAATCATTAGCGTTCTATGTCATTAATATTAACTCGTGATGCGTACTAGTACTTCCGTGTTCTGATTGCATAAATAGTTCAGTTCATTACATTTATTGATTATCACGATCCTAGCTGAATATATTGAATTTGCCACGACAGAATGCTATTTGTCATAATTAAACGAAGGATGGATTAGTCTAATTTTGTCTGTGACAAATGATTTTGATTTATATTGATCCTTGCATTCCTTCCTTTTTTCTTCCTTTTTACGTATATTTTAAGTGAAATGTCAGCGAGATGTTCGTAATGTTAAGTTTTACGAGAAAAAAATTTAAAAGACAAAATTATTACATATTTTCTGATACAATACTATTTTATATTTTTTAAAACTGTCCTTTTATATTTTGTCTCCTTATCTTTTGAAGAATATTCTCTCTTATATTTATATGCAAATATTTTCTCTCAAATACGCATATATGGTACAAATGTAGTCTGGGTTATTTTATGTTACAAATCTGAGGAAATATCAAACTGTTCATTATTAATTACATTTCTATATTTCCCAAGATAAGAAGTTACAAAAGTGAATAAATGGCACAACAAGAAAAGTTTATGCAATTATTAAAAAAATCTTAATAACATTTAACAAAGAAATTAATTTGCTTCTCAACCAATTAAAATTGTTCATTAACGTAATTAGTTGCTAGTCAAGCCTTGGTTTCATATAAAAATCTATGAAAATATGGATATGTATTAATTAACGTTCATGGCATATCTATAAATAATTATTTTCTACAACGAAACTGTGCTTCTTTATGAAAGTATTCTAACACGAATTACTTCAAATCGAATTGGGAATTGATTTGCACTTTCTTCTATGCGAGATGAGATCCTAGTTTCCAATTACCCGCGAAAGGAAAATGTACAACTACAAATGGTATTCGGTATTGGGGTTAAGAACTTCATTAACTTGATAGCTTTGGCATTACGATTTATTATATAATTTCGATTCAAGATTCGAGAATACACTGTGAGAAATAACATGTAGTCAGTTACATGATTGCAACCGAATTATGTAGATATGATTTCTGCTATGGATAAATATGTCTTCGATGGTGGTCGATTATCTCCTCCGCGATTTTTACGATGAAGTTTGAATAATGACATAATCAGGGAAAAGGTACTAGTTGAAGCGATATTATTCGCTAAGATTCAATCCGGTGCAGTATAAATTACACCGCCTACCAATTTATTAATTCTTGAATTGACTTACGTGCATTATATTAAAAGTATTCGAAATTAGTAATTATTCTCCGTCATCAGTGATGAATATTGAATAAATTTGAGTTAATTTATAAAATTAGTTGCAGCTTCTTTATAAAAAAATTTAAATACCAATTCTATGGTAGCAAAGCATAATTAAATGTTTCTATTTAATCGATTTACAAGAATAATTAGAATTTATAAAAATCGTTAAAGACGTAACTAAAAATGCTTATTTATTTGAAACTTGAATGTCCTTAATTTTTCAAAGTATTTCTAAAAAAATTCAATTTATGTAGTGAAATATTTTCAATCCATAGATTTGCTAATTTTCAATTCAATATAATTGAAACAGTGAAATTGCTCGTTGCTCGGAAGAAGGTTTATAAGATTGCACTGTATCTCCTATAAACGAATTGCATTTCGTGAAATGCCGATTACAAAATGCGATGTTCCATTTTTCCGGGATAGTGTCGGACACGGCATCGATTTATGCGTGAAATATCATAAAACCGTTACGGTACAGTATCAACGATGGCCACTTAAAGACCAGCTACAAATCACCACGCCCACGCCTCCCACGAAATGCATTAACTTACTCAATCATGGAAACGTTTTGACACTAAGTCACATTCAGCGGGCCTCGTGGTCTTACGTAGGCGTAATACTTTCACTCCGGAATTTAAAATGTCAAGGAATCTTCATAAGCCGCTGCCCGGTGGCAATTAATTCCTCACCTCGCTGTTTCACCATTCGTTTACAATCAATAAAGGCACTAAAAGACGAGTAGAACAGAGAAAAAGACAGATTAACCCTAGACATCTATACATTCGTCTAATCATTTTTTGCCACATTTGGGAATTCGAATTTGGGAGCGCACTTTTAACATATTCCAAGAATACTAACGTTAACCCCTTACCTTATGATTTATTTTTCAACTATGATCGATACAACTATTTTGACATTAATAATTTATTCATAAAAGAGAAAAATCTTAAGTATATTCTACGCGTATGTTTGCTCTAAAATATAATAATTGAAAACCAAAACATAGTATTTAATTTGAATTAACAAGGATTGGGTAATATTTATGTTTGTTAAATTCTGTTTAAACTCTTCATCACGAGTTTCACACGTTATTATAAAGCAAGGCATCAACTTTGAACGCTTTTTTACTTTTTAATTAAAATCTAATAATATATCTCTTAACCCCTTGCCGTACAATATCGTGTCAGACTAGTGAGGAAGATCTCAATCTGAAATTAACAATAGTAAATAAATCTCAATTTTCTTGGGTTCAAAAATAAACATTATGTTTCTGTTATGAATTGTTATATTTTAAAGTAAATGTGGATTAACAAAACGTGTTTATGGAATTCTCCTTCGTTTCTAGTAAGTTATTAATGACAAAGTAATTCTTGCGAATGCAATTATGAAAGAGGTCATAGGTTAAGGAGTTAAGTTGTGCTACTTTCTTTGAAATAAATAAATGAAATATGAAAATACACATGTCCTTAATTTGTAGTCTATGAGTCGAATATTTAGTTACATAGTAACACTAATTTCAGTTTAGTTATCTAGGCTTAATCTTCGTGTTCCGATGAATGAAACCGAACGAACCCGAACCTGTAATACGAATTCCGCTGCAAGTCATGTAACCGAGCGGTATTCTTTGAATGGAAAATATGCTGGAAGCTGATCATTCCCACCGATTTTCTTTCACTTTCACATATGGTTACTTCTTTTCCTTTTTTCTCCTCTGGACCCCCGTTGTGTTCCTGCATCGCGTGTCTCGTTGCACAACGGGCCCCGCGTATTTCCCACCAGACGAATTCGACTAGAAGCGGATGGGAAATCTGATGATTTTGATCTTGCCATAGAAACTCGTGCCAGTTCAATTAAGACGGATGCTCCGCGGTTGAATAATCATGGGATAATTCGAGAAATCGCCCGGCTGAGCGTAATTCTTTCGGTCCGATCGTCTGATCTCTGCAAGTAGAAAATATTTTGATTAGATATTATTCCGATTACCATATTGATAGACATACTACGATCAAAGTATGAATATTTTTACATTCATAATACTGAAGACCACGCAATATCTATAAAATGTGAATATCAATCATAAAACTGAAAAGAATTCTATCTTTATCCTAGGAAACTCACTAATAGAAATAGCACATTTCATTAACAAGAATTTAAAAACGAATAATCAGGACAAACAAATGTCACAAAAATAAAATGACTATTTCTCAAACGTCAAGTCTGAGATTTGAATATCAAATAACCATTCACCTTTGAATAATGCTATAGAAAAATATTAAACACGATCTAATCGATACGTAACGTAAAACTATTAAAACATACGTCGATTAAAGAATTCTCACGGAACAATGTTATTATTGAAACATTCATGCTCGAAACCACTTAGCTTGCGAAAATAAAAAGGAAGACCGGTAATATAAACGACTGCGAGCCCTATTTTCCCCCAGTGATTCTTTCACAACGGAACGGCTCGCGTTCGCCAGGACACGGAACAGTAAAGACGGTAACAGTCCAATGAATAAAACAATATGATAAACATCGAGAGTTCGATCGTTCGTCACAATCGAACGAATTCGTTCTAGATTCCGTTCGAAAGCGATTCCTACGTAAATACTTATTCGAGAACGAGCCGGGCCTCGTTCCAGTGAAACGCATCAAGCTAAAGAAACTTACGGTCTTTTCTTCCGATCGGGATTATGATTTCCATCCGAGACGATACGCTGCGGGCCTCAACGGGCGGATATTACCACGCCGGTGATAAAATTAGTTTCACAACCGTGCGAATGGCTGACTATCGTTCACGGTATACCGAGGATGGGGTACAAGCCTTTTTTCCCAATAAAACGTTCGACGGTCTGGAATAAAGTGGCCCGCTAATAGAGATAACTGGACCAGGCACGAGCCTGCTTCCAGACAGTAATGACGACAACCGTTTCTAATCGCCGGAGAAAAATAGCCGCGTGGATTTGTAGTTCCGAACGCGGGCCGCCATCAAATATCGATGAGTAAGCTTCGAATAATCGTATTCCTGTGTTCCATTCTTTGGGTTTCAGTTATGGCTAGACTATAGAGTTTTACGCGTTTATGGGAATTTCGGGAGTGCAGAATTACATAGAATGCATGTGATGGGAAAAGATATACAGAATTGAAGTATAGTTTTTGTAATGTGTGATGGGAAAAAGTATTTTCTATTATAGTTCTGTTTTCCTGCTTTTATTCTTAAAGATTGAAATTTGTATCAAGATACACAGTTTAGTTATGATAGTATATGAAATTATTATTTGCGTGCCGAGGATATTTGCGTTAAATAAAATTCTTTTGGTATAATTTACAACGACTGGAGTTGGACAATAGATTACTTGTTTCCGAAATAATTTTAGTACTTTAACCTTTGTTTTAGTACCTTGCAGAAAGGCGTAATAATTGGAGAGATTCTAATGGGAATTTTATTCTGAGTGTAAGCGAAGAACTATGTAATTCTGGTTTATGTTTAGAAGATTATAGTTTTAACTTTGGTTCTGATTTATTATTTGTGTTATACCATTTTAAACACATTCTAAGTGTTCTCATTTCTAAGGTGTAATGCTATTTTAATAATAAAATGCATGCAATAATGTCTTAATTGAAATGTATACAGGTGTATCTGTAAGTGCTATGGTTGTTTTGTGTGCGCTGTACGGAGTCCATAAAAGTGTTCCACCTCCGCAATTTAAATCAAAAGTAAAAGCACGGTGAACGTAACCGTACACTGAGCAAACACTTGTGAATGACAAAAGACACCTGTAATTACTATCAACTATGTTATTTCCTCGAGAAACATTACATGGAAAATTGCAACACAGCGATTGGCAATTTTCTAATACCGTATGTGTCGGTGACACGTATGTGTACTCTCACCAGAACTTAAAACACTCACTATTTACACATAATATGTAAAAAATAAAATTGATTGCCTATCTTTTGTTATTTCGATATTATGGTATCGTTGTAACAGTATATGCTAATTTATGAATAAATTTGTGAACCCCTCCTCACATTTCCTACTTTTCCTAGCATATTATGGAAAATAATTGCATTGTTTCAAATACAAAGAATGCATAAAATGCATTTACGATCCATGAAAGTGCAACCTGACACTTATAAACAGCCACAGTCTATTTATCACTTTAACGATATCCTGTTCATTTATGCATTGGAAGCATCATCGGAGAAAATTGTCGGCCGCTTTACCTCCAAGGAGATATAACTTTTTGACCGAGTGAAGATGAGGGTGCGGCGTAAAATGTGCGAGATTAGATACGTGTTAGGCCGATATGAAAATTCACGCCCACGCGTAATTATCCTAGCGATGTAAGAATGCTTACCGATTGGTTCATTGCTAAATACCAGGTGAAAACCTACCACCTGAGTTGGATTACTTAATGGTAGTACCTGTGGTTACACGATTAAGCCACATTCATTTACAAAATGAGTGGTTTTTTATCCGGCTACTTCCACGTTTACGAAATCCCATTGCGTGATACTTTCGCCAAATAACACCGACGATCACAGTAAATGAGAAAATAGAATAGATATTTCGATAACCGAAAACATAAGATTCTATTTATAGAAATACCTTCTTTTAATAAAATAGTAAGAAGAATTGAAATGAACTTTTTCGATTATTTCCCTATTTCTTGTAAATGTAAATGAATATTTTCGAAATACTTTGTTATATTTTGAACAATAATTTACCTAAATATTACATTAAAGTGTAATTCTAAATTTTATTTTTATATGATCAGCATATTTTCTAATACAGTAATAGAACCTGCCAAAAGAGTTATTGTGAAAAGTACTTTCACCATTGGTCTTAAGAATTCTTCACTATGATTCGATAAATATCTATAAGTACTATCGCATATCACGTATAAACTTTTTCTTTCAAAGGTTTCGCTGTGGTGTTTAGACGAGCGATATTCTATCCGTGAATGATTCTTAGAAGGAAATCTTAGACCTATGTTAGTACAGTGTTAAATACTGATTATGTTTCGGTAACGATGAGGAATAGAGGAGCTATGCATTTCAAAATGCGTCTCATCAAATTAGTTAATTCTCCATTCTTCTATTTAAAATCATTTCTATATATAATAAGCAATAAAAAATATAATAAACGAATTAACATTATTAAGTTCACCATTTATATTCCACAAAACATAATATCAAAAAGTAATAAAAATTATCATGAAGAATGAATGTTAAAATCATGTTAACACTAAAACTACCAGACGTGTCAAAATAACCCGTTCCTGATTTCTTTATTTTGCAATTATTAAGCAGATAACAGAGATGGTTCCCTGAGAAATGGCTAAAGAAATTGATTAGCAATACGCAAACTGTATTGTAAATCAATCGAAGTCTCGGGAGATATATTCTTCAAGTTTCTATAGAAGAATTTCAAACAGTCAATTTAACTGCTCGGTAGTTTCGTGTTAAATCATGTTAAAAATCACGAAAATTCACTGTTCCTCTAAAGCATCGATTTTCTGAGCAGGAATTATTCTGCCACGAGACTCTCTCGCTACTTCAGCCTTTGACGACACGCCGCCATTATTACGCGTCCGAATCTTTCACTTGCAAGACAAGGAGGCGAAACGCATACTTCCACAGCATAAGAAAATGTATGTTGTATCTAGTTAACGGACGCCGGCGCCAGGGGAAAATTTAGCTACGGGAACCGTCATACCGTTTGAACATCTAAGTTAACGACGCGTCGCCGAGCAATCTGTCTGACCTCTCGTCTACGGCGAATTGAGTCCCGGACAGTTTGAGATAAGTGCCGGACGCGAGCCGTCCGTGAGTACTACTGTACGCGCCTCCGCCGATAGAGGCCGATGCATCGCCTTTTGATTTATTAGACCGCATTCTACCTCGAGCTTCTTCTGCCCCTATTTATATTCTCTTTACGACGAGCATTCATCTCCACTCGTCCGCCTATTGGTCCGTCTATTAATCTTCTATATGATATCGGAACTCGAAACGGCCATGTGAAAAAGGAACGACATGACCGCCGAGGGTCGTGGAAATTGGTAAACGTCGGCTAATTTAATGCACCGGTCTCCACATTCTTCAGCGTTCGGACAGCCCCTTGATGAAAATCGTATTTCCGCGATGAAAATCGTTTCTGTGAAATGTACTCGCGGATAAAGATGACTTACTATGATTTCAACGCTGGACTAGTTCGCCTACGATATATAATTTTCTGATTAAAATACCTCTCTAATTGAATCGATAATATTTTTAACGCTATCTTGTGCATACGACTTACAGGTTTATGTGATTTGTGGAAAGGTTGTATAAATCATGCATTTGATCTTCCGTGTAGTTAGTGTGTTAGTAAATCTTGTTAAATGGAAATTTTAGCGTCGTGGATAAATGTTGTACAAACAACGTTTCAATTAAAAATGATGTATACACCGTGTGTTTAGTAAGATATTGGATACATACAAGTCATTTATTTTATCTATACTTGTGTAAACTTATTTTTCTGAAATTATACGTGTCCTTTATGTCTTTTTGTATTATTACTATTCATGGTGTATAATAATGTTTGCAAGATTATATACCTTTAAAAGAGGTGAGCTTCGATAATCACAGAAGGTATTTAAGTGTTTCCATTAATAAGAATTACGTATATAGTTGTTTGACAAGGCTATCTTGCGAAGCAGGAATTCGCGAAAATATTCGGGATTACGGCATGGTACTTCGTGCAAGCTTGGAGGAGATTTTTCCCCTTACCTTGAAGGGTCTTGGGAACAATTACCTCGCGAATCGAATGCTACGCCGGGATAATTATCGTTAAGCGATTTGACCTCGTACTCTGCAACTTCGAGAGATTTCGTGACCTTCTCACAGACGGAGTCGAGTAATCGTTCGCGGATTTTTTAATGCAAAGAAGTTTCAAG